CCAAGGATGGGGCAAATCTGGCCAGTGTTCTTAGGCTCCACAGTACAATCACTTCCGCTTCCTGTATGCAGTCTGACTCAAATAATCTCAGACTCAGGAAATCATAGTCAACTGCATAAGAAATCTGTTGTTTCTGACTGCACGGATGCAGCCAAGAGTTTTCTCTCCATATCTTTCTTTTTCTGGAGGTAATAGTCAAACAACACCTTCAAAGGTCAGTTCACCCCACAATCTGCATGAGCCTCCACTGTTTCTGTCATATGCAGGAACCCTGGAGACAGTCCTCATCCACTAGTCCAGTCCACATATTCTGCAAATCCAACACTTCCAGTTTACATATCCTTGGTCAAACCTTCTGAGCTATCAGCAAATCCACTCCATCCAACACAACCTGGAAGGTCTCCATGTTGGTAGGGGTCTTCATCAGGTCTCCAAATTGGAGGCAAGAGAAGGGCCAGGCTGCTGTCATCACCCTCACAGTATCACTATGGAAACTGGTGAAGTCCTCCTGGAGCAGTAGAGGAAAGAACATCTTGGGCAAGTACTCCACACCAGAGATATTAAAGACCTCAATCCCCAGCAAGCTCTAACTGCCAGGTCCCAGACTGAGCACGGGGCCTGAGCACTTATCCTAATGAATCTTCAGGGAGACTGAATCTGGAGAAGCAACAGAGATGGTCCTAAAGGTAGGTCCTTTACCAGCTGGGTCTGGCAATGTCCCCAGTCTCCAGGAATCTGACGCACAAGAACAATAGTATAGAACTGGTATGAGAGTGGAATGAATTCAATGAGGAATCTTTTTTCCTAGGAGAATTAAACTTCAAGTATCACACAGAATATTATTCTCAAATGTTATGCTCTGTATTAACAAAATTAAGTTGCATATAAGCAAATTGTATGACAACATAATTTACACTACAAATTGTGGGTATTGCAGACCCAGTGTTAAACCAATGAATAACATCCTACTAAGTTATAATACTATTAAAATGACTCCTAATGACTTGTTAAGAGTAATACATCCCTTAACCTAAATCAGAGAAGCCATTTCTTCCCATAGATGTCACTTAACACACTTCCCCCAATTGTACAATATCCAGAAAATAATAGAGTGCATAGTCCTAAATAGTTTGTAAGTCCAGGTTTAGTTGGTGACCTCAACAAAACAGCATTTTACACAGAGCAAGGGAGTAGCACATATGAATTCCAGAATTTGAAAGTAGGATCCCATTGCTAAATACAGGACATACACCAGGCACAGGACTTGGAGCAATGGAGCTGGAGCTGACCTGGAAGTCCTCTCCCTAAAGACTAGTTCTCATTGTGCTAGAGGATACAGTGCAAGCTACCAAGGGAGAAAATCAACCAGTGGTCCAACGTAGGTCTAAAGTCTAATAACTACAATAACTGTCACAGTTAACTATCTCTATTGGTGTGCTAGTGGGAATTTTATC